GTGTATTTTGTATATCAATACTCCCTCCTGCAGAAGATCCCTGCAAAGTGAGGGAACCTAATCTTCAAGGCATTAAAGAACTCTCATGTATCACTATCAGCTGGCAACCCTGCCCATTTAACCAAAACCTGAGCAACAACCTTATTTCCCTTCTTTATCATCCTTCATTGCATAATAGATTCTGGCTCAGAGCAATGAGGACGAGCAATGTCATTGGTAGGGGGTAAGTAACTTGTGTAGGTAACTCATAGAATTTTTTCAGGAGAGAAACATGCACAGTGGGGTGTATTTTAACTGATAGTGGAAATAAGAGGGTGTATGCCAGAGGGCCTACTTTTTTAGCAATCTGGGAGGGTCCATAATATTTGGAAGCCAATTTGTGGAAAGGCTGTGATGTAATGGTCACTTGTCTGTAAGGTTAAGCCTTGAAGTATACCCAATCTCCCACTTCAAAATTCTTGTCACTTCTATGATTGTCAGCTTGTTGTTTCATCCTGAGTTGAGCTCTCAATAGGTGATGCTGCAATAATTGAAGCTTCATCTCCCTATTAAGTAAGGTGTTATCAACCTCAGTGGAAGCTGATTTTCCTGGTAAATAGGGCAAGTGAAATGGTGGTGGCCTGCCATAAAGTGCCTCATAAGCTGTAGTTTTTATGGCAGTGTGGAAGGAAGTGTTATACCAATACTCAGCCATGTGTAAATAGGAACACCAATATGCGGCTTCTTCAGAGCAGAAACATCTTAGATATGTCTCTAAGCACCTATTTAGGACCTCAGTTTGGCCATTTAATTGAGGATGATAAGTTGTTGAGGTGTTTAATTGAACTCCCTGAATTGCAAATAACTCCTGCCAAAATGTGCTTAAAAATACTGCATCTCTGTCACTCACTATGAAATCTGGTAGTCCATGTAGTTTGTATATGACCTCTATGAATACCTTAGCCATGGACTGAGCAGTATATGGATGTTTCAAAGGGATAAAATGACCATATTTACTCAATCTATCCACTATGACTAAGATGACTCCATATCTGGGAGAGAGTGTTTTGCTGATAAAAGCAATAGGATGTCCCTATTGCATTAAAACAGCCCATATACCATGTCCACTTACATCAATTTCAACAATAAAGGTCTTGTTAGCATTAGGCAATGCCAAAACTGGAGCCTGAATCAATGCAGTCTTCAGCTGTTCAAAGGCTACTGAAGCAGCAGGTGACCATTTGAAATTATCTTTCTTGAGAAGGTCAGTTAGTGGCTTGCTAATGGTACCAAACCCTCTGATAAACCTCCTGTAGTAACCAGCTAGCCCAAGGAATCCTTGAAGTTGTTTAACATTAGTAGTTAAGGGCCACTCCTTCACAACTTCTACCTTTTGAGGATTTGTTGAAACCCCTTCAGCAGTAATAAAATGCCCCAAATATTCTATCTTTTGAACCCCAAAGAAACATTTGCTCTGCTTAGCAAATAGTTGATGCTTCTTCATTTCTCCAAAAACAGATTTCAAATGTAACAGATGGTCATCCATATTGCTGCTATATATCAGTATGTCATCAAAAAGGACTAAGACATACTTCCTAAGGAACTTCTGGAAAACTGAGTTCATTAATCCTTGAAAAGTTGCCGGGGCATTTGACAACCCAAAGGGCATTACTAAATACTCATAATGACCGGCATGAGTTCTAAAAGCAGTCTTTGGTACATCCTCAACTGCCATCCTTAGTTGATGATAACCAGACCTCAAGTCTATCTTTGAGAAGATTTTGGATCCTCCTAATTCATCCAGTAGACCTTCTACAATAGGAATAAGAAATTTGTTTTTTTACTGTCTGTTTGTTCAAATCCCTATAATCAATGCACAACCTCCAAGTACCATCTTTCTTAACAATCAAACCTACAGGTGCAGCAAAAGGGCTGCTACTTGGCTGGATAATACCTTGATCTAGCATCTATTTTACTAAGGTTTTAATAACATCCTTCTTAACTGAGGGATATCTATATGGTCTTTTGTTTATAGGTTCGGTTCCAGCTTGAAGGACAATCCTATGATCAAACACTCCTCTAGATGGTGGTAATTGTGTAGGTTCTTTGAACAACTCCCTAAACTCATTTAACAAGTTCAGTAGCCTAGGATCTTGTTTAAATGTCTCTTTAGTTTCCAAAGAATAGCATTGTACTTCATTACATATAGCAGGCATTACTTGTATCATGTATAATTCAGATTGTTTACCTGAAATTCTAGCCAACTTTCCAGCTCCAAGAGTCAGAATTTACTTTCCTGATCCTCTAAGTACATGCTTCCTTCCTTTGTAATAGAACTCCATGGTGAGTGTTCTGAAGTTCATTTTTATATCCCCCAATATTAATAACCATTGAACTCCTAGTACCACCCACAAGATCCTAAGGGCAGTAGCAAGAATTCAGCAAAAATTCAGCTCCATGTAGAAGCCAACAGATTTTGCCAACTCTATCCACCTTCAATATGTTTCCATTGGCTGCTGCTACTAGTTGTGGTGTAGTTGCTCTCACAGGGCATTTTAATCTCTCCACTAACTCAGGGTCCATAATATTGTGAGAGCTTCCTGTGTCCACTAACATGTGCAAAGGCTTTTGAGATGATACCCAGTCACTCTTAGTGTCATGTACCCCAAAGATCCATTCAGAGCATAAATGGAAATTCTCACCTGCTCCATTGGTTGTGACAATTCTATCTCTTGCTCTTCTAATTCATTCATTGATTCCTCTGAAAACAGCTCCTCTTCTGGTTCTTCTAGTTCAAGTAAGTATATTTGTTTCAAATTCTTACATTTATGTCCCACTATATATTTTTCATTGCAAAAGTAGCATAGACCTTTAGCGCTTTTTTCATTCATCTCGTCTAGACTCAGAGTCCTTCTTTTGAATCCCTTAGAAGTTTCAGCATTACCTTGGCTAGGAGTTGGTAACAATGATTTGCTATTATTTCTTTGATCTGTGATCCTTCTGGGAACACTGGTTGGTGCATTGTTTACTAAGAAGGGTGTCTAATAGCAGCTAAATAAGCCTCTTGCATTCTAGCCATTTTGTACACCTGTGTAAGGTAGTGGGATTGGTGAGTTTTACAACAATATTCAACTCATGTTTCAGTCCACCAAGAAAATAACTGATGGCATTTTCTTGTGTCAGACTAACTCTGGTGAGATTCCTTTCAAAAACAACTTGGTACTCCTTGACAGTACCTGTTTGTTCTGTTCTTCTTGATCTCTTCCATAGGATCATCAAAATCGACTCCAAATCTTTCCACCAATGCCATCACATACTCAGTCTATGTAGCCGGTTGGAAATATTGCCTATACCTCATAAATGTTAAATGTCACTGTATAACTTCACCTTCTAACTGCATTGCAGCCACCTCCACCCTTTCTTCAGTATGAACCTTCTCCATGGAGAAGAATTGCTCAATTTTGAACAGCCAGGACTTCAGATCTTCCCCATTAAACCTCAAGAATTCCATCCTCGACCACCTCGAGAAATTGGAGTTGTGATGGTTATAACTGGCTGGACTCTTTTCTCTTGGTGACCTTTCATCAGATAGTTAACCTTCATGTTGTATCATAGTTTTATTCCTTCGATTTTCTCCAGAATGAGTCAACTGTTCCTTTAGTTCAAGAACAGTTTGGTCCAAACGTTTCATATTTGAGACCTCTCCAGCTAAAGCCCAAACATCTGCGATTAATTTCTGCATCAATTCACGTAAATCCCCTGGTTCTTCTGTTGATGTCATTTGATCGAACACCTTTCGCCATAACTGCCGAGGATGATTAGCTCTGATACCACTGTTAACTCAATTGCAGAAATTCAATAAGGAATTCGAAGATCAGGCAGTTATTCAGGAGTTACAGAAAACTCGAGAAGTCCAGTTATGGAATTGTAAAGAAGTGTAGAGAGAGAGAGAGAGAGAGAGAGAGAGAGAGAGAGAGAGAGAGAGAGAGAAATGTAATAGTTCTAATTATGATTTGTAGCTATGAATTACAATGCTATATAAGAATTGAGAGTTGACTATTGTTTATTACAACTTAAGGAATCTTTCTCTAACTGCCTAACTAACTTCAACTAACCCCTAACTAACTTTTAACTACCAAGCTGACGTGCCATTGAACTGGATTGTTCTTGAGCTTACTGTGTATTTTGTATATCAGACACTCAGAAGCCCCAAGTAACAATTGCTTAGAAAAAATCAACCTTTACCTAGCTCAACCCCACAAACTGGATCATGGAATTAAAATTGTCCAAAACCATATAAGGATACAATCAGGGACAAAGCCAGAGACCAAGTTACGAGTTCAGCAAAATCCAATAACTTTGGTCCAAACTTTGAATTTGTCTTAAAAAACTATTATAATATGTACAAATTATTAGCTTAGAACCCAGTTACTTAAGAAAACTAAAATAATGAACCCATAAACTTCAAATAATAGTTTCGCCTCTGGATACATCTCATTTCTTCATACAATGTGAGACATTCTAAAATCCATCCTCCCCTCTGCACGCCAAGATAGGACATCTGAAGAGCGGACAATATTACATGATGCCCAATGTTAGATATATAGAGAATAGGGTGAATCTGGCTTTGAAACCCGTATTAAGAAAATAGAGCTCATTAGGTGAGTTGCCCAATAAGAAGATAACAATACAATCCTTTAACCACTGTGGAACATTCTTACACAATGATTCTAGTGATAACCATAATATAAATACAAGTGGGACGCAGTAGATGGTAGGGTCAATATATTATGAGCTCTACCTGGAGTAGTTGGTAGGGTCAAACCCAGCTACCACGAGTCAAGCAAGGTTATGGCCATGTATCTTTACTAGGAAATTTGTTCCAGCATCTCACCTTTTCAACTTACCTAAAATTGAGGCATAATTGTTTTGGTTGTATCTCAGTATGACGTATTCCTTGCAACATTAGGGAAGAGATCACTATTGACTAAAAGAGTCCGACAACTATATAAATCTCATGATCTTTTAAAGATATCTACTCAATTTAAGGCTAAAATTATTTCGTAGTTAATCAAAGAACATTTAATTATAATAATAAATACTACGACATATTAGGGGGGGAAAGGGTGAAAAGAAAAGCATGAATCATCATAATGCCTAGGTAATTCAATTCTATACAAAGGTTACAGAAGAAAGTCATTTACAAAAAGTATTTCATCCTGTCATCTTTTCTCATGGCGTTGTATACAGCTTGTACCTGGAGAGTGCAATGAAATTGCATGTCATTATAATGAAAACGGAGGAGTAGATTGTCGTATTTAAGGTGCAATAGATATACCTGCTCACTAGAAACAACCTGAATTGGCCCAATGTTCACTGATACATATTTCCCCCCTGAAGATAACTTCTGCCTCACCTTGCCCTGCATAGAAAAGCAGAAACATCTCAAATTTTGGATCAAGTTAAGCAAAAATAATCCTGGGATTAAAATTTAGTATTGCCTCATCCCTTGTTTGGTTACTAATTTTGGGATAAGTTATCCTAGAATTAAAAATAGTATCGAGATGCTTATACTTACCAGGAGATGGAATAGTATTCCCGGGATAAAACAGTATAATTCATAATCTCATGATTAATACAACATACCAAACAGTCAATAAGAAATAATACCAGGATAACTAATCCCAATATAACTAATCCCAACATAACTAATCGCAGCATAACTTGTCTTCAAAACCAAGCATTCCCATAGTATTTGATATACATATAGTAGTTGATCTTTCTGTTGTTTAAAATAAAAGCCGCGTGCATGAATAGAATAGTGAATTTTGCACTTGCCACTTTGGTATTTAGAAGTCAATAATTTCAGATTTCCATGATATACTTATTGCCTATACATTTGTTTTACCAAGTCCTCATATCCTCTCCACGCACTTACAGGCATAAACACATGTTCCTTTTGTAACACATGTACCTTTGTTTCTAAGAATACATCCTCATTTATCCTATTCCTTTGTGCTTTTTCACTCATTTCTTTTTAAGGAAGCGGTGTCCCAGAAGCGACAGAATTGTCCGCAAATGCGAAAATCGCTGGACAGTGTTATAATTCGAAGGTTTAGCTCATTCTTCATTGTTTGGAGATTTGGAGCTCGGCTAGAGGCGGCTTTTGGAGGGATTTTCACCACACTTTAGAGGGTAAGTAATCTCTACTTGATTTTGATGTTAGATCTTGATTCCCCATTGTTTTGTGCACTTGGAATATGGATTTGAAGGAGAAAAATTGGGGGGTTTTGTACTAGATTTTGGAGAGTGATTATTTGGGATTTGAACCCCGATTTGAAGTTGGATTTGAGTGAAACTTGTATATTTGAACTCGTATTGAAATGAATAATTGGGATTTGTGACTTTTGTCGGGTTTCGGGATGCTGACCCGAGTTGACTTTTTGGGTTGACTTTATGTATTTGATTAACGATTGAGCTTTATTGCTCCGTTATTGTTTCCTAAAGCATTATTTGACAACGTAGTATGTTATTTGACTAGATTCGAGCCGTTCGGAGGTCGATTCACATAGGAAGGCATTTTTGGAGCATTGACTTGACTCGTTTGAGGTAAATGTCTTGCCAAAACTGGATTGAGGCACTAGTTGCTTAAGTTATTGATGTTGGCTACGTACTGAGGTAGCATACATGCAAGGGGTTGAACCTATGTGCGTGCACTGGTTTATCCATGTTCGAGGTAGTTCTTGGGCTATGTTATGCATTGTTTGGGATATTGTAATTCTTGATATCATGCTTTATATGGTTGTATGACTACGTAACCTCGTAAATCATGCTAGAGATCATGTGTAGGTTTGCTTGTCCCTGTTTGAACATGATACTCATTGTTATGTGGCGTAACCGCCTAATTTGAGCAGTATTTGTACACTTCGCACATGCATACATGTTAGCATGCTATTTGATCAGTCCAGAAGTACGTGATTTGATATCCATTGAATTTATATATGGATTCTTGTATATGTTTGTGTTATGGACTGGTTTGACAGCACGTGAGTTGTTCGTGCGGGTTGAGTTGACTATGGCACGTGAATTGTCCGTGCGGATGTTATGACTATGGCACGTGAATTGTCCGTGCGGATGTTCTGACTATGCCACATGAGTTGTCCATGCAGCGTGTGGATAAGGATCCACCCCCCTAGGGTCGTCCTCTCATGTTTCAGTGTTGAGTTTTTGTGTATTTTCTCTATATGTAAATCCTTAGGTGTATACATGACTTTTACTGCGTATCTCCACTATATGCTAGCTCCGTACTTGTATTAATGCTTCTTTATATATTGTCGTTTCTGTCGATGAAATAATACACAGTATGTATCTTCTCTAGATGTCTCTCTCTGTGTGACTTAACATGCCTATTATTTGCATATCTTCTCTATATGTTGGAACATTATTCTATTACGAAACTAGTGCATATCTTCTCCATGTGCACTGTTGGCTTTATTTGCATTCATGCGTAGATTCTGTTATTGTTACTGTGTATTCGTATGTATCATGAACTGTACAGATTTATCACGTGAGTATCATTGGTGATTCTAGCCACTACTTCTCCGAGGTTAGTCATGATACTTGCTAAGTACATAGGATTGGTTGTACTCATACTACACTCTACACTTAATTGTGGAGATCCAAGTGTGGGACCTAGCTAAGAGTTGTGCTGGATTATTGTTGAGCTGCTGAGAGACAAGGTAATGCATTCCGATCGCAGTCATTTGCGTCTCTTCCTATTTCTGTTACTGTTGTTAGTCAGACAGTATTTTTAGATTACCAGACTACTACTCCTGTTGTAAAGCTCATGACTCTGTATTACCAATTCTGGGGGATTGATTGTATTGGCAGTCTTTATTTATGATATTTGGCTTTTAGGCTTGTATTATTCCGTAATTCGTTATCTTGTTGCGATATTGTTTATGATTGGCTTGCCTAACAAGTGGGTTAGGTGTCATCACGATCAGAGGTGGTTTTGGGTCGTGTCCTAACAGCTAGCATATGGACCCATAAAAAAAAGCAGTATACTTGCTTGGACAGTCAATAACTGGCTAGCCCTTATTTTCATTTTCCTAATAAGAGCTAATATATAAAAGCTGACAAGTTTAAGCTTACACGAGGTACCGGAAGATGGTAAATTACAACACATTTTAATGATCTCCTAACAAAAAAAGGTTACTGCCTAATGGTTAGCGTATGGACCTCAAGGAAAAGTAGAATTGTTTGGATAGTCAGAAACTGGCAAGTCTTTGGGTTTACAATTTTCCTGATAAGAGCTGATATATAAGAGCACCCGATTGGCAGCATACTTAATGCTTTGGAGCTTACACTACATATAATATCATCCACTAGCAGGGGAAGGTCACCAAAGGTTAGCATTTTGACCTCGAGGAACAACAATTTACTTGCTCGGACAGTCGGAAACTATCAGAGAGCTCTTCAAGCCCTCAATTTTACAATTTTCCATAAAAGAAACTAATGCAGCCGAACTAAGTTGACCACCATTAAGAGTATCTGTTAAGAATCAATTAGGATGGTTACATATCGATTGGGATGAGTACATGCTTGTAGTCATGAAATATTTTCCTATTTTACAACATGGATAAATGCCATTTAAAACCATTATAACTTTAGGGAATAATTAAGTTGGAAAGATACCAAAAGTTTCTTTCTTATTTCTTCACATACTAGGATGTTGTGTCCCTATTTTGATATAAAATAACAAGCACGTATGGATGCCCAAGCACTGTAAGCAAAGATGGTCCGAAGGAGGAAGCTTCGATTCATCACTATCTAGCAATCTCCGAACAACACAAACCACTCAGATTGGATGCCCAAGCACCGTAAGCAATGGCTCCTCACAGGAAGATGTATGCTAAGTTGCTCCGACACGGGAATTTAGGTGCCGCACCCGTGTCGACACGACACTAGTATAGGTGTGGGTATGGGATCCGTACCGGATCTGGTCCAACAATTTTGGGTACTTTGACCACAACGAACGGAAAAATTTGAGACGAGATACAATTTGATTCCTGGAATCAGAACCAAAACTAGGGTAGATTTGAAGAAAATAGCATACCTTATCTAGGAAATCAATCATTTACTTATCTACAATTGGAGAATAAACAAAAATACACACTTTACAAGTTATACATAAGTATTCTACAAAATTTCTCATAATTTAGAGATCTTTTATTTTATTTTATTTTTTGGATTATTTTTAGCCGGATCCCTGCACTCATATCCGTACTAGGATCCGTATCTCCGAATCTTAGAATTTACATCTCGAAAGATTCGACCTCTAGATTCGCACCCGTGTCCGAGCAATTTAGGATGTATGTGCACAACCCACGTGCCATCTCAACCTCGTTGTTTCATATGCGCCAACGCGTGAACCATCTCATACGGATCTCTTTTGAAAGCAATCATTCCACCGAGATCATCCAAGCCCTTATCATCATTCCGACTAATTACCACTCTCTTGAGGGTGTGTTTGATATAACGGAAAATGTTTTCTTGGAAAACAAGTAGTAATCTTATTTATTTTCCGGTGTTTGGTACGCGTAAACTTCCAAGCATATAAACCTCTGAACTCATAACTTTGGAACTTGTAAAATTTCGAACATGTAAACCGAAAGATGAAAAAACTAAA